CTGTGTCGGTGATTATAATGTTATTTGGACAATTACATTTAAGCTACTATATGTTAATGCAGTTAAATAATCATTTGCAATAAAATATACTTCAAGTTTAATTCAATTTTATAGCATGAAGCATACATTTTTATTTTTTTTATACAAATATGAGAAGCCACCATTAATTGCATGAGGTATTAATCTGGTGGAGATTATAGCAGTAGAGATTGGGTTATATCTCTGTGACACCCCAAAATTCGGAGGTCCGTTGATCACCCATCAACCCGCGGAATACCTGTGGATAGCGTGTAACTCGATATCACACCATTGTGTCCCATTTACCGGGATCTATAATTTAACAAAATTCGGGTAGAGTCTCATTTGTACAAGGAGCTCTACGTAAAAATACAACTTGTACATCATACAATTACAAGACCCATCCGAGGTCCAATTTTTAACATTGATCATATCGGGTCCATTTATAAGTAAACATTAACTACACCCGGGTCCATTTATCCATACTCATACAATAACATGCAAGGTTACATTAAAAATAGTCCATATAAGTTCGATTACAATTCTTTTACATAAATTTACATGCCAAAAACTAAGTTTTTGTAATGATTTTACAAAATCTCAAAACAAAGCCACATCTTGGCTTTTCTTCCCCCTTCATGGCTCGAATGGGATCCATTCACTAGCGTATAACCCATACCTAAAATATTTTCCCGTATAGGGTGAGCCACGCTCAATAGAGTATTTCCTACAGAGTATATTCCCCACCTAAATGCACATGCAATGTTCATATGCAACAATCAACAACATTTATCCATTTCAAATAAGAATATATGATTCAAGGTTGAAATTTTATCATGTCATGTCATGATATGAGATGATACTCACTCATGCAAATTTTAACCCGAGCCCATCCTGGCTCCACAACATATGCAATGTCAATGTGTATAAAATTGAGCTTTTCTAGCTCCTGCTATTTACTTTTATCCCATGCTATGCCATGAGTATCAAATCGGACTTTTCAAGCCCCCGCCATTAGTGTTGCACACTCAATGACTATTTAAAATCTCCGGGTCTTTCTTGGGGTGGGTATTCATGGACTTACACCAACGGCACCCAACTGACACGGAATTGACAGACTTTCACCAACAGTTTCGCGTACATCGACATACTTTATGGGCTCTTATACTAACAGAAGTGCGTATCCGAATCACCGGGTTTCTCACCCAAAGGATAGTCTAGCCCTTCTTGCTAACCCCGACCCAATTTTTCATGCAACCATGCGACTCAGTCGGACCTTCANGCTGTTTTTGGGATTCATTGTAACGGTTACATTATATTTATTATTGAATAAAAAATGGTCAAATGAATAAAATAAACCTGATTTTTTATTTTAAAATTAAGAGTAATACTAAATTGACTTAAAAATTAGACTTAAAAATTTGACTTAATAATTTCAACTATTGAATAAGTAGCGGGTTCTAATAAATGCTGAGACCTACAGAGAAATTAATGGTTGAGATTATTAAGTTTAATTTTTAAGTCTATGTAACATTGCTCTAAAATTACTTATTTTAGTACATGACTAAATAATTATTGAATTGTATAAAATTCACTTATTCATTAATTATATTCTTGCATAGATGGTGGTACCATTTGAGAGTAAAGGCACATGGATTGTTTGCGAAGCGGGTGACTCCCTATATGACATGTGCATTTGTATTAAATGATCTCACATAATCAAAACAGGATCAGTCACGTGACAGAGACATCATCTGACTAAGTCATCAGTCTGATTCTGAGTCTGAGTTGTTCAAAGAGCTCGGGAATGAAGGGAAGAGGTCGGTCCTCACCATGATTGAGCTGTTTTCAAACAGCAAATGAAAAACTAAGGATATTCTTATAACTTAGGTATTCTGGTTAAACAAACGGGCATAATTATAGGCTCAGCAGAAGGAATTGCAGGAGAGATTCCAGCAACTTCTCAAACAGAGTCGCCTAATTTAAGAAAGGTGTACCACCTTGAATCAAAAATCATAGAAACCCTAAGAACATGTTTGGTATGTTTTTTGGAAAAGGTTTGGATTGGATTGTCCAAACCTGGGTTTGACTAAAGATGAGATTCAAAGATGGGTTTGAGGGGGTTAATGCTATCCATACCCATGTTTGGTATGCGCAGGGTATATTAGTATTATGATAAGATATTTGTATATATTTGATAATTTTGCCCCTTGACCGATTGAATCCAAACTCATGTTTGGTTACATACATTTACTTGTGTCCTTATGGGTTAAATATATGATTAAATATTTTTTCCTAACTTATGAAAAAATCATGAATATTGATTAAAAAATTAATATTATTCATAATCATAATAAAGGGCAAAAAAACAGTAACCTAACAAAAAAGTGCAACTTTCTAACATTAACTTATATGGGGATAAATACAAAATTTGTCAATTCACAAATACATGAAAACGGCTGAACATATTCTCGTTAAACCATATTAAACATCATGTATTGATGACATTAATCATCAATGATAACCAAGTCCACAGTAGGCCTATATGGTGACGTGACTGAAGTGAAACCAGCACTAGAAACTGTCGATATATTTCCGCCTTCCCCATGTGGGCCGAATATTTCTGTGAAAATCTCGTAATTCGGACAAGTCCACACACACGCTCGAGCTGCGAAGGTGTCATCCTAAAAAAATGACATTTAATTTATTGACAGATTTATATAAAAATTCGTATAGTAAAATATATATATGTAAAAACATAACAAAAAATAAACCTCTAAGAAAGAAGCTCCTGCCGCATTGATTGAGAAAAGAACTCGTTCTTCATTGTTCCAACGGAACAACCCCGAAGCCTCCATATCTTTCATCTTCAAATGACGTCTTTTCCAAAAAATAACTACTTCCATCACTAGTCCCAAAGTTAATCGTGGTGCTTGCCGACATGAACTTATCATCTCCCACAAACGACTCCAGCCTCCTTCGAGGAATTCACCCGTGTTGGCAATGTGCCTCTCCAACTTAAGGTCCATAAGGCAATCCAACAGAACATCTTCTTCATCTTGTGTTAGCTTTAAACGCCTCATTTCTTTTAACCATGGTCCAATAATAATATCCATTACAAAATGAAGTGCAATATATTAGTTAATAACAGAACATAAATTTGAACATTAGTTTATTGATACCAATCCATAAAAGTGAATACATAAACATAAATTACAAACACAGCATAAGTTGATAAGGAAAAATTTTTTGAAACATGATCAGCACACATGATCGTTTGGTCAAACAAAATTTTCCACAAATTTTGATAAAATATTGGAAATTATGAAACCCAATATGAACGCTACTACAACAAGCATAATTCTATTTTGTGGAACTGATTGAATTTTTTGACAGGGTTTTCTTCCAACCATTTCGTGTGGCATGAGAATTCGTGCACGTGCTCCAATGGGGCAAGGATGAATCACAGTGTGTGTTCGCTATGCTTGACAAGGTCGTGGCATTCTTGCCAATTATCAACAATGCCTACCCTTCGACCATTGAACACAACATACCATTTATTCTTCAAACTCATTTGCATTCCTGTTATTTAACTCATGAATATTGTGAAATGTGATTAACACAAGAAATTCAATTCAATTTTAAAACACAAACATTAAATACCCAAAACATAATAAGCATAAAGTAATACATTGTGAAGATAGCAATAGTCAAATGATACTTGTACATCTTNCTGTCGATATATTTCCGCCTTCCCCATGTGGGCCGAATATTTTTGTGAAAATCTCGTAATTCGGACAAGTCCACACACACGCTCGAGCTGCGAAGGTGTCATCCTAAAAAAATGACATTTAATTTATTGACAGATTTATATAAAAATTCGTATAGTAAAATATATATATGTAAAAACATAACAAAAAATAAACCTCTAAGAAAGAAGCTCCTGCCGCATTGATTGAGAAAAGAACTCGTTCTTCATTGTTCCAACGGAACAACCCCGAAGCCTCCATATCTTTCATCTTCAAATGACGTCTTTTCCAAAAAATAACTACTTCCATCACTAGTCCCAAAGTTAATCGTGGTGCTTGCCGACATGAACTTATCATCTCCCACAGACGACTCCAGCCTCCTTCGAGGAATTCACCCGTGTTGGCAATGTGCCTCTCCAACTTAAGGTCCATAAGGCAATCCAACAGAACATCTTCTTCATCTTGTGTTAGCCTTAAACGCCTCATTTCTTTTAACCATGGTCCAATAATAATATCCATTACAAAATGAAGTGCAATATATTAGTTAATAACAGAACATAAATTTGAACATTAGTTTATTGATACCAATCCATAAAAGTGAATACATAAACATAAATTACAAACACAGCATAAGTTGATAAGGAAAAATTTTTTGAAACATGATCAGCGCACATGATCGTTCGGTCAAACAAAATTTTTCACAAATTTTGATAAAATATTGGAAATTATGAAACCCAATATGAACGCTACTACAACAAGCATAATTCTATTTTGTGGAACTGATTGAATTTTTTGACAGGGTTTTCTTCCAACCATTTCGTGTGGCATGAGAATTCGTGCACGTGCTCCAATGGGGCAAGGATGAATCACAGTGTGTGTTCGCTATGCTTGACAAGGCCGTGGCATTCTTGCCAATTATCAACAATGCCTACCCTTCGACCATTGAACACAACATACCATTTCTTCTTCAAACTCATTTGCATTCCTGTTATTTAACTCATGAATATTGTGAAATGTGATTAACACAAGAAATTCAATTCAATTTTAAAACACAAACATTAAATACCCAAAACATAATAAGCATAAAGTAATACATTGTGAAGATAGCAATAGTCAAATGATACTTGTACATCTTCTAAGTACCACTTTCACACAAAAGTTACGAACAACGACAAATTGTAGAAGACATCACATCGGTGAAAATATTCCAAAACAAGCGAGTCATGATAAATGCTAATTGTCCATCACTGATGCATTATCCCATAACACGCCAAGAAGCCATGCTGGTCTCTCACTTTCTGGCAAGCTCATGAAGAGATCCACCTTAATCGGGTCACTAGCAATCTTATAAGTTGTTCTGTGTCGGTGTTCCATCATTAGGCCATCTATTTTTGCCAATTCGGTGTTAAGTTGATGCCTCGCCTCAGTAGCATCTTGCTCATAACCAACCCTCTGAGCAATATGTGAGAGTTGTTTTCCACAACTCGACACATAATCACCAAGTATTTCTGTCATTTTACTTATGCTGCGTGCAATGCCATCAGATGTTTCACCAGTTGCTTTTCTCCGATGTTTACAGCTTGTGGGTGTGTCCCCATGTCCAACCACACCATGTACAGGCGTGCTTTTAGACATTCCAGTGTCTGCCATATTAACGTCAGTGTCCGCAACATCCTCAGCATCATGCACCTGAACTCCAGCATCATCACCTCCAACCATCTCTTCTAAATCTTTGGCATACTAGCCTGTAGCACGGTCTTTGCCAAAAATTATGCTCCAATCATTGTAGTAAGGCCAGCTTTTCTCACGCATTCCTTTTACATTGCGGTCTTTCTAGAAAAAATATGATCGTTAGTGAAAGACTTAATGACGCTAATATGTGGGTTGGAAAGTACATACTTTGCCCAAACGTCGTCCCCTTCAACATCTATCTTTGTTCTGTGTCGTTCCAGCCGAAACCTGACTTGCTAAGCATTGTGAAGAGTGTGTTGTATGTTTTCTTTCAATTTTTTATCTTCGACTCAATGTGTGGAGTGGCACGTAGGTCAGTTCCACCTAGTGCATCTGATAAAGCCTTTTCCAAGTGGTGCAAATAGCCTGCTCTGAATGCCCCATTTTGGGATTTCCAGCCCTGATTGCAAATGTCTTTCGGCGCATTTATAAGCAACGATTCTTCGGACGTTGACCACATTCTTCTCGGGCCCTTGTCAAACTGGGAACTTCCCCTAAACTGTGAACTCCCAACACCTGCCATGTAATCACTACAAATACCATTGAATCCACATGTACGCATATAATTAAGTCAAAGTTGGCAACAAAATATTTTTTCATAAAGTTTTAAAGATTTTTACATACACGCAAAAACATCCAATAATACCATTAGTTGCAGCGAATCGAACTTAAACAAAAAAAACCAGTTTCATCACGCTAATGTAAATCACAATAAAGCATGCAACAATATGTCCCCTCATATATCAAGGTACCCTATTACACCTCCAGTCATTGTACATGTTAGCCGCTAGTTGATCACGCCACGCTATCCAACCATGGGAAGATTCAACACTATCAATTATGTCATTATCATTCACATTCTCATCTTCAAGTGGATGGTCATCTAACTCTTCCTCCACCGGATCATATTCCATCTCGTTCCTAATAAGATTATGAAGTAAACAACAAGCTGCAATGATTTTGTTGTGCGTTGGTACTGGTTAAAAACACGTCGTCCTAAGGATAGCCCATTGCATTTTCAGTAGCCCAAAACACCTTTCTATGACATTCCTCGCTGTTGCATGCCTCAAATTGAAATATTCTTGTGCGCTCCTTGGAATTGCAGCACCGTCGGCAAAATCCTGTAAGTGGTATTGCTGGCCACGAAATGGAGCCAAAAAACCTTCTCCATTTGTGTACCCAGCATCCACAAGGTAATATGTACCTACATGTCCACATTACCTGATTAAAACTTAATTCTTCACGAAACTGACCAAGTCAAAAAATGTCAAAAAAAAAAAGTTTTGTGCCCTTACCACATTCCACCTTCAACCCATTCCGTCGTGTGATAGCATCTCGCAATACCCTAGAATCAGCTGCAGACCCCTCCCATCCGGACAAGACGTAGATAAATTTCATGTCTTGTCCACAAACGCCCAACACATTAGTTGTTGTCCAACCCTTCCTGTTCCTATATCTACCTTGGTGTAGGTGAGGCACTTTTGCCCTAACATGTGTGCCATCTAGGGCCCCTACGCATCCCTATACGTGCCAATGATGATGAAAACAATTGAGTACAAAAGTGTAGTTTAAAATCAATTACGAAATAATGACAAGTGCATTACTCGGATTGACTACCTTGAACCACCTCCATTTGGGATCTTTGCAACCATCTGTAACTGGTTCAAGCCTCTTCAACAATAATCATCGCAATTTGAGAACAGCTAGTAAAACTGCATTGAAGTGTCTGCTCACTGTCTCCCCAGACCTAACGAAGTTGAACTTAACTGGACGATTCTTGTCATCATGGCCTATAACACTCAAGAACATCGCAACCATCTCTTCGACAAGCATATTCTTTGTGTTGGTAAGTCCACCGACTTCCCTAACTAAGCAACACAACACGTGAAATGTATGTCTATCCATCCTAAGTTGTTCAACACATGATCTATCGCTTTCTCCAATAAGCCTATGGAGATGTTCACTTTGTGCACGGAACCTAACGACTGACCTAGTCGATACTCGTGTCTTTCGTTTCTCATTTGCCCATATTGCTATCATAACCATCAAAATACAAGTAAAAACAATGACGAACTCTTTTACTGAATTATTGAGACTAATAACCACAGCTGATACATTGTCATGTTTACGGGTCATATTCACTGAAATAATACCACAACAAAATCACCAACATATTAATATTAATAATTACTAAATAATTTTCCAAACACATTAACTACATAGTTTGTGTAGAATTTTTAAAGAGACTACAATTATAGAAGTGTTGGGAAGTTTACACCACATCAAATAATTTTGATATTTCTGTGGTTCATGGTAACACAGACCAACAATGATGGAAGTGTAGTAACTGCAAACAACATAGTCCTAACAATATGCTATGAAGAATGAAAAAAGAAAAAATATTACAAGCATGCACTAATTCATAATTATACCGTTTGGTGCAACCATTATAGTTTCAATCAAATAGTTATTACATCCAAGAAATTGAGTTACACCGGCATTAAATATTGAATCCATTATCAACGATATTAAACATGAAAACTAAACAAGATTTATCAACATGGAATGGCAAAAAAAATATCAAGTGAAGTGTGTAAAAACATATTACAAATGGTACCAGTTATATTCTTGTCCCTTAGAACAGCAACTATGAACGCAGCACCTGTTGAAACAAGCAAAAGAATAGTAAAGGGAATCTATCTTCACTCTTAGAACAAAAAAGGAAGGGGAATATAAGAAAAGAATGAGAAAAAAAAAAACTTAAAAAAATCCCCTACTGCTCGCTTGTAGCAGTGTAACATTATAATATTTAAATTTCACATGAAAAACTCCCAAACTCTATCACTTGGTAAATTTATGAATAAGAGAACAAAAATATTCAATTGCAATTAAATAAGACAATAGTAAAGGGAATCTATCTTCACTCTTAGAACAAAAAAGGAAGGGGAATATAAGAAAAGAACGAGAAAAAAAACAAAGAACTTAAAAAAATCCCCTACTGCTCGCTTGTAGCAGTGTAACATTATAATATTTAAATTTCACATGAAAAACTCCCAAACTCTATCATTGGTAAATTTATAGATAAGAGAATAAAACTATTCAATCGCAATTAAATAAGACAACTAAAAAATTTAGGGTTCATTCAGTTAACTTCACAGTGATGCAGTGTATAAAATTAGCAAAACTCATTCTCAACTTGATTGGACTACAACAGGGTGGATAAAAAAAAGGGAATCAGCTATAAACATTAAAATCTGGCATTCATAGCATATATATGTTCAGCGATACTAAGTCTAAATTAAAGACTGTAGAAACAGTACTACAACCACAGATAAGGGATGTAACATTTTCAGTATATCCAGAAATCTACTCCAATGTAATGAAAATTGATCTTTGAAGGGCCCACTTAAATCTTCAAAATAGAGCATACACAGGTTAGAGAAAACATATATACATCCAACTTCACCAAAGAAAAACTTCAATTATGCGTCAATATGCATTTCTGGAAATGAAATTACAACTTCAATGACTCAAAAGTAGCCCAGTTCAGAGTAAATCAGTAATTAGTCACACATGATCTCCAAGAGAACCGTGATTTCACAGTTGGGACTTTGAAAAACCAACACTTAACTGGTGCAATTTTCTAATACAACTCCTAGTTCACAATAGATCCCCAAGAATAAGCTAAACCAATCAAAGAAGGAAAAATCATTATGTGATTGACTGCATCTTTGACTACATCATATGAAACCTGTTGCATTAAATTTGACTACATCATGTGAAACCTATTGCATTAAACATCATATATTCTGATCATATAAAAACCTGTTGCATTAAAAATCATATATTCTGATCTTTGACTGCATCATATGAAACCTGTTGCATTAAATTTGAGATAAATGTAATGCCTATTTTGCTTTTGAAAAATGTAAATCTTTCGAGAACTTACAGGCAAAGTGGTGCAAATAGCGTATGTTTTTTCATAAANCAAAAATATTCAATCGCAATTAAATAAGACAACTAAAAAATTTAGGGTTCATTCAGTCAACTTCACAGTGATGCAGTGTATAAAATTAGCAAAACTCATTCTCAACTTGATTGGACTACCACAGGGTGGATAAAAAAAAGGGAATCAGCTATAAACATTAAAATCGGGCATTCATAGCATATATATGTTCAGCGATACTAAGTCTAAATTAAAGACTGTAGAAACAGTACTACAACCACAGATAAGGTATGTAACATTTTCAGTATACCCAGAAATCTACTCCAATGTAATGAAAATTGATCTGTGAAGGGCCCACTTAAATCTTCAAAATAGAGCATACACAGGTTAGAGAAAACATATATACATCCAACTTCACCAAAGAAAAACTTCAATTATGCGTCAATATGCATTTCTGGAAATGAAATTACAACTTCAATGACTCAAAAGTAGCCCAGTTCAGAGTAAATCAGTAATTAGTCACACATGATCTCCAAGAGAACCGTGATTTCACAGTTGGGACTTTGAAAAACCAACACTTAACTGGTGCAATTTTCTAATACAACTCCTAGTTCACAATAGATCCCCAAGAATAAGCTAAACCAATCAAAGAAGGAAAAATCATTATGTGATTGACTGCATCTTTGACTACATCATATGAAACCTGTTGCATTAAATTTGACTACATCATGTGAAACCTANCAACCCATTATCCTTAACCCGCCCAAACCTTCTTAACAAACATGCTCTAAGTGAACAGGGATCTATAAAAAATGAAAAGAGCCAAGGTGAAAGGTACGTCGAACTCTCCTTGTCTTCTTACAATTGATTCAGACCCATTACTGACTTGAGCATCGAAGTGGCTTCGATCAAAGCACTTTGATCTTGGGCAGTTTGTTCGTTTTGCAAGAAAGAGAAAGCTGGGAGACTTAGTTCAGAAACACATCCTTACTAGAAATATCAATCCTTCTTACATGTGAGAGGTTTGTCATTTTTTATCTATTACATTTTTTTGGCGCCGTTTGTGGGAAAACTCTCATCAATCGAAACAAAAAGCCAATGTCAAGGATGAAAAGTGCCATCGGATCCCCTGTATGCAGCTTTGCCTTAGGAAATTTTGATCCAGATTATAGAATGTCGCTCCCTTCTGATAGCGACATTAGATACATGTGAGAAGCTCATCTAAACATTGTGAGAAAGAAGAATTGTCTTCAGCAAGTTTCAGACTGTCTAGACAGTAGAATCAACAAAACTTTGACAATGGTGCATCCCTCCGTGCCAAGGGGGAGAACCATTCTTTGGCAAAGTTGGTTCAGTCACTACAGGACTGACTTGATGCGTATGAAAAATTATTTAAAAAATCCTATGCCAGGGAGCAAGATCTGATGATAGAAATGAGGACTTGAAAGCCAGATTGAAGGAAATGACCAAGAAGGAGAACCGTGACTGGGAAAGTCGACGAAAGAGTCCAGAGAAAAACGGTGCAGTAGGGAAAATGTTGAGGATAATGAGTACAAGCAGAAAAGACCTCAGGGACTAGAGGATGACTCCTGAAAGCAGTTCATCACTAAGGAGCTCAACAACCGACTTAAGAGACCAGAACAAAAATCAGCTAGGGACTTAGCTAGAAGAGCAACAGGAGAATATGGAGACAGTTCAAAACTCTCGCCTTTCACACTGTGGATCGAAATGAGGTGAATCCCAAGTAAATTCACTGTCCCGAACTTCAAGTTATATGATGGGAAGACTGATCCATCCTCCCACATCAGACACTACAGGCACCTTATGACCATTCATCGGAGGAACGAACTACTGCTCTACACCATCTTCCCCAGCAGCCTCGGGGAGTTGGCCATGAAATGGTTTGATAGCTTGTCGAAAGGGTCGATAAACAGATGGTTCCAATTAGCCGAGCAATTCACAGCTCGGTTCATTACAAGCAGTAAACAACCCAAGGATATTGGGGCTCTACTGACACTAAAGAAGCGAAGTAATGAAATTTTACGAGAGTATGCTCATTGTTACTGGGAGATGATGAATGAAGTTGAAGCTTGTAACCCCAAAATTACAATAGCGTCCTTCAAAATTGGATTGCCAAAGAGAACCCTTTGTACCAATCTCTTACCAGGAGGCCTGCCACAGACCTAGAAGAACTGATGGTAAGGATCGAGAAATATGCCAAAGTCAATGATGACTTATCCAAAGATGTGGGGAAAGATCATCAAAGCAGAAGGTAGTTTAGCCGTGATAAGAAAAACGAACCGAACGGAGAGGTAGGAATGAAGAAAGAAAGGGAAGGATTTCCTCCGAAGTCTCCTTTCTTAGGGGTCAATACAGTATTTAAAGAGCCGATATACAAAATATTGGCCCAAATCAAAGGAAAGCCATATTTCAAGTGGCTCAATAAACTAACAGACGATCCTTCAAAGAGAAATCCGAATTTCAAGTGTTCCTACCATCAGGATGTAGGTTATATGACCGAAAACTACCGATCTCTAAAGCAGCATTTGAAAGAACTGATCCAGGCAGGACATCTTGCCCAGTTCATCGAGGATGGTGCTAGAATCGATGGGGGTAAAATCGAGCCTNGAATCCGAATTTCAAGTGTTCCTACCATCGGGATGTAGGTTATATGACCAAAAACTGCCGATCTCTGAAGTAGCATTTGAAAGAACTGATCCAGGCGCGACATCTTGCCCAGTTCATCGAGGATGGTGCTAGAATCGATGGGGGTAAAATCGAGCCTCAAAGAGACCAGACAACGGTAACATATGTGATAGATGTAATCCATACTACAACAAACTCGCAAATGGCCACAAATAATGCTGCAAGAGCATATATCCAGAAGGCTGTGAAGGAAAGAGAAGTGTATCAGTTGCGACTATCCCCCAAATTCAGGAATAAGAGGATGAAGATTGAGGATGTAACCAAGCCGATCTGCTTCTTTGAGCAAGATCTGATCAGGATACACCAACCACATAATGATGCATTGGTGATAATGCTCAGAATCGCCAATTATGATGTAAAAAGAATATTGATCGATCTAGGAAGTTCCTTGGAGATCATGTACATGGATTGCTTCTTGAAGCTTGGGTTAAAACAGGAAGACCTCAAGCCAGCCAATATCTCACTGGTTAGCTTTAGTGGGAAAACAGTTCTCCCAAGAGGCAAGATAACTCTCCTTGTGAAGACTGGCTCCGTTGGAACCATGACTGAATTCTTGGTAGTAGACACGACCTCGGCATACAATGCCATTNCGGGTTAAAATAGGAAGACCTCAAGCCAGCCAATATCCCACTGGTTAGCTTTAGTGGGAAAACAGTTCTCCCAAGAGGCAAGATAACTCTCCTTGTGAAGACTGGCTCCGTTGGAACCATGACTGAATTCTTGGTAGTAGACACGACCTCGGCATACAATGCCATTATGGGATGAACTTGGTTGCACGAGATGAAGGCAGTACCTTCAACGTATCACCAGGTGCTCAGGTTTCCCTCGGCAGAAGGAATAGTGAATATTTGAGGAGACCAAGTAAGTTTCAGAACATGCTTGCTAGCCTCAGTCAAAGGAAGGGACGGTCAGGAAAATAAGTAGAAGAGCTCGGTAGTCGAAACTGAGAAATAGCAACCAATCCTCGAACCCACCGACCAAACTATTGAGGAAGGATCTAAAGTACCCTTAGGAACGGAACAAGAACCAACCGACCAAACTACCGAAAGAAGTCCTAAAGTACCTTTAGGCACCGAGCTCGAATTGACTGAATGAATAGTAGAAAACTTGTCTAGAGTACCTTTAGACAAGGATGATGACAAATACTTTCTTTTGGGCGCCTCATTGAGCCTCGAGTAGCGAAATGGACTTG